GTGCCTGATAGAAGAGGAAAAGATCAGAGCGTGTGCACAATGACATGGACGGGCCACAGAGACGTCACGCTGTGTGGAAGAAGCCTGGCACAGAAAGAGCATACTGTGTGTTTCCGTTTATATGAAATTTTACCACAGACCAAGTTAACCTACTGGTATGGTGATAAAAATCAGGCCGTGTTTGTTTCTTTTGGAAAGAAAGAAGCCCGGGGGTGGGGGTGGAGGTAGGGTGGCGGTTCTGGGATGGGAGAAATATTCTGTGCCTTGATAGAGGTGAAGGTTATATGAGGGTATGTGTTTGTCGAAACTAATGGAACAGCAAGCATTCCATGGTGTGCAAATTATACCGAATACAAGGTCAGAGAACAAACTTGCATACATACATTCATATAAATAAAGAAGAATATGCGAAAACAAAAGTGTGTCAGGATAGGGGAGCTATGGCGATTGCCCTCTCACTTCAAGATTTTAATTTTCATACGTTGTTTTTAAGTAAAAAGGATCTCTAAAGCTTCAGATGCCCATAAGTTCTGACCAGGCACCCATAAACACGGAAGGCAGATCATCTAATTTTCCGGGGGGGACAGCGAAGAGTCTCTGCCATGAAGGAGTTCCTCCCTGAGGACAGCGGAAGACACGAGATACAACGAATGCAGAAATGGAGGGATCGAGGGCTTCCGGAGCGAAGGCAGCCTCAGGGCTGTGCTGTAAGACGGCCGAGAGGGGGGTTTGGAAGGAGCAAGTGGAAAGTTATTCCAGGATGAGGATGTGGCACAGAAAGCAGGAGCATGTGGGCTGCAGGGCTGGGTAAGCTGAGTTAAGCGGGCAGTCCAGGCCACGAGTGAGTGAGGACAATGGGATGAGGGAGAGGACAGTGGGGTGAGGGAGAGGACAGTGGGGTGAGGGAGAGGACAGTGGGATGAGGGAGAGGACAGTGGGGTGAGGGAGAGGACAGTGGGATGAGGGAGAGGACAGTGGGATGAGGGAGAGGACAATGGGGTGAAGGAGAGGACAGTGGGATGAGGGAGAGGACAGTGGGATGAGGGAGACGACAGTCGGGTGAGGGAGAGGACAGTGGGATGAGGGAGTGGACAGTGGGATGAAGGAGAGGACAATGGGAATGTCAGTCAACAGAGCGGAGAGGTAGGTTCTGAAGGGCAATAGTGCAGACGCCACTTGGGCTGCATGCAGCGCTCCTAAGTTTATGAGCAGTTCTCGGTGTACGGGAACCTTACCTCCGTTTCCACAGAGAAGGTAAACAAAAATCACCCAGTGGGAGAGACACACCAATGGCCCCTCCTTTACTTTGGAGGGAAAGGTGGATGCTTGGACAATGGTGACAGGGGCGGCTCTCCCTTCTGGAGTTCCCATGATGGACCAGGCTCTGTGCCAGCCACGGCACATACGTTACCATTTAACTCAAGCTCCCAACAAGCCAGCAAAGTGCACATTCACTTCAAATCCTTGAGGAACTGCCGTCTAAGAAACTAACAAATGAATGGACAAAAGCCACACCCCAAGCACTTCCCCTGTATCAGGCAGGGATCCATCACGTCCCACTTCCCTTTGAGTGGGAAAAAAAGAAAAACAGCCTGTCCTGGAGGGGATTCTCTTAATGTTTTGCCTAATAGTCCTTCTTCCAGTGCAGTCTATGATGTCACACAACAGCATATGTGGTTCATTACTGCACAGCTGCAAACTGCATACATCTTAACACCTACTGCGTGCCTACTAGCAGTCAGCACTTGCTGCTATTTCACAGCATGTTACCTCATGTAATCCCCATGACCACCCTGGAGGCAGGCAACTGGGACAGGCCCTTCACAGGGGATGAAACAGGACAGAAAACACATCATGTGACTTGCCCCAGGCCTCCCAGCTTCCCAAGAGTTGAACCTGGACAGTTTAACCCAGTGGTTGGCAAACTCATGAGTCAGCAGAGCCAAATATCAACAGAACAGCGATTGAAATTTCTTTGGAGAGCCAAAGTTTTTAAACTTAAACTTCTAACGCCACTTCTTCAAAAAAAATAAATAAATAAAAACTCATCCAGGCTGTGGTATTGTGGAAGAGCCATACTCAAGGGGCCAAAGAGCCACGTGTGGCTTGCAAGCCGCACTGTGCTGACCACGGGCCTAACCCCTTCGCTCTACTGCCTCCAAGTTTAAAACCGAGCTTTCAACTTCACCGTGGGGGTGACCTGTTCCATTCTCGGTTCATGCTACAAACACGCAGACGGGCAGCTGCGAGAGCATCCTTCCCGCCTGCTTCTCCAGAAGAACTGGCTGAAGGCCCCTCTCTGCCCCCTTGCAGAGCCAAAAGCCCTTCCCCACATGCTCCGCGCTGTCACCTGAGCCGCCCAGCCTGATTCAGCAGCCCGGTGACATTCTCCAGTCCGGCCTTGGGTGACCGGATGATACGGACGGCCAGCCGCCGCATCCCGACACCGTGATAGCAGCGGAAAGGACACCGGGGCCGCTGTCTTTTCACCGGGGAAAGCTGAGCGGGGCCGCCCGGGAGGCCACTTCCTGTCAGGCTGGGGCCCCGGGCCCATTCACATGGGGAACTGTGCTCTCCGCTAACGGGGCCCAGAGGGCGCCCCATTCAGGCCGAGAGAATGAGAGCAGTGTCCGTGGGAGGCGCTGAAACGTGAGCGGGCGGCGGGCCCATCTCCCCGGCCCTGGGTTAGAGTGAATGAGACACACAAGCGGGGCTCCGGCCTCATCTGCCTCCGCAGCCCTCACATCACCTCTGGCCCAGCCCAGGGCACCCAGGCTGGTCACAGGGGTGATCAGAAGCCCAGTAATCATAGGGCAGAGAGCCTGGAGCCTCTGGGAGCTGGTTCTCGGCTGTGCTTTTCGGGATCTGTCCCCCTAGAATGCTCAAGTCTTTGGGGTCCTGATGCCATCTGTCTGAACATTACGTTTCTTTTTTTTAATTAAAAAAAAATATATATTTTATTGATTTTTTACAGAGAGGAAGGGAGAGGGAGAGAGAGCTAGAAACATCGATGAGAGAGAAACATCGACCAGCTGCCTCCTGCACGCCCCCCACTGGGGATGTGCCTGCAACCAAAGTACATGCCCTTGACCGGAATCGAACCCGGGACCCTCCAGTCTGCAGGCTGATGCTCTATCCACTGAGCCACACCGGTTTTGGCTAAACATTACGTTTCCATACGGAGCCTTCATTCCCTCAGCCCACAACGAGGGCCCCCGGCAAGCTATTGGGACCAGGAGCGGGTGGTGCAGTGCGGGGAGAAGGGAACAGGACGAGGCCTGCAGAGAGGTCTGGAGCCCACACTCCGGCCACCGGAGCCTTGCCGGGGGAGACAGGGGTGTTCGCGTCCAGCACGTGGTACTGACCGTGTATCAGCGCTGGTCTCAGCCCAGGAAACATGAGCAGTTTCTCCCGGAGCTGGGTGGACACAGTTCTGCTCTGGCCGTTGCCTCTGCATGATGTGCACACATACCTGCACACGCGTTTATGTGGTGACGCCAGCACGTGCAGAAAACGGCACAGGGCCCTGACCGGTTTGGCTCAGTGGCTAGAGCGTCGGCCTGCGGGCTGAAGGGGCCCTGGGTTCCTGTCGGCGGCATGTAACTGGGCTGCGGGCATATCCACAGTGGGGGGTGTGCAGGAGGCACTGGTCGATGTTTCTCTCTCATCGATATTTCTTTTTTTAGTATATATTTACCTATATATTTTTAAATATATTTTATTGATTTTCCACAGAGAGGAAAGGGGCGGAATAGAGAGCTAGAAACATCGATCAGCTGCCTCTTGCACACTCCTTTCTGGGGATGTGCCCACAACCAATGTACAATACATGCCCTTGACCGGAATCGAACCTGGGACTTTTCAGTCCACAGACCGACGCTCTATCCACTAAGGCAAACCAGTTTCAGCTGTCATCAATGTTTCTAACTCTCTATCCCTCTCCCTTCCTCTCTCTAAAAATAATAATGATAATGATAATAATAAATAAATAAATAAATAAATAAATAAAATATATTAAAGAAAGAAAACTGCAAAGGGCGAGGAGCTCGCCTCTCGGTGGACAGCCCCGGGCCTGGCTGAAGCTACCGCGGAAAGTGGGTTCTCGGGGGTGGGGGTGCCCACGGCTCACAGGGGACCCCGAGACAGCAGCTCCCCCACCCCACCCGGCGGCTGGGGTGGGGGAGGCAGTACTGTCAGCTGCACACATCCCATCCCAGGAGGGACCAGAACGGAACCGGAGGCCAGCCGGGAACAGCGGGCCTGGGTGGCGAGCGTGCCAGGCCTCAGAGGCACATGGCTGCCCGTGGACCCGGGTCCCGGGTCACCATCAGCCCCGTCCCACAGGAGATCAGCACAGAAACGGGCCTTCTCAGACAGGCAGCGCCTCCTCTCTTCATACTCACCCCACCCGCTCCTCAGGGAGCGCGACGCCAGCACTGCGATGAGAGCAGGGGTTCTCTCCCCGCCCTTCAGGGTGAAGGAAAGGGGCTCCGAAAACAATAGGACGGAATGATTGCCCAGGAGCCCCCACGGGGACAAAAAAGCACCCCTCGCCGGCTTGGCTCAGTGGATAAAGCGTCAGCCTGCAGACCGAGGGGTCCCAGGTCCGATTCTGGCCAAGGCACATGCCTGGATTGCAGGCTCGATCCCCAGTGGGGGGTGTGCAGGAGGCAGCCGATCAATGATTCTCTCATCATCGATGTTTCTATTTCTCCTCCTCCCTTCCTCTCTGAAATCAATAAAGATATATATATATATTTTTAAAGCGTGTGTCCCTGTCTTTGGGAAGAGGAATGCTCTGGTCATCAGAAAGCTCTGTGAGGCTTAGTCAGGTCCATGCCAGGAATTCTGTGAACTGCCGGTCACTCTGCCAAGCTTCAGAAGAAACGCCGATGCTGGAGAAGGCAGCTACCAGCTGCTGGCCGGCACCTCCAGCCACCACGCGGACAGCAGACCCCAGTGGCCAGTAACACGCAACAAGAAGCAAAGCTCTTTCTTACCCAGCTCTCCCCGGAGGCTCACGAGTTCTTGCGACAGCGTGTTGTGCTGCTTCAGGGCTTCCTCCCGCTGCGGAAGACAGACATCGGGTTACTCCGGCTGCCAGGGGGTCCCCCCGCGGGGCGCACACGTGTTAGCACCAGAAAGACGACACTCAGCGTCCAGAGGCCAAGATGGGAATCGCTTAGGCTAACAGGGTGTGTGCCGTTCAGCAAACAGCTGTCCCTTCGGGTGCAGGAAACCCCAGTTCCCCCAAAACACACCTGTACCTTCTCAGGGCCCCGTGCAATGTTCACTGGAAGCGCTGAGAATGTTTACTTTTAGCTGCAAAGCCTTTCCCCAGACGCGCGCTGCACCGGAGGGAGATGCGATGCAGTCTCCTCCTCCAAGGGCAAGCCCGGCCTAATCAGGTCTGGATAAATATTTGATGTTCCCAGCGTCTGCGCCTGTGTGCACTTTGCCCTGCGTTTGCAAATACCAACAAAAGGAGCTGGGACGGCCCTGGGCTTCTAAAAAGGAAGACACCAAGTTTGTGATAAAGCGGAGGCGAAAAAAGAATCCTCTAGCAAAGGCAGAAACTAAACTGATTTGACTCAGCAAGACACAGTATTTTCTGAAGAGGGTACTGTTCTGAGTCAGCCACAGTTCCTAAGGAGATGCTGCAGACACACATCAGGGAAAAGCAGGCAGCTGTCTTGGTTGTCACAAAGCAATTTTCAAAAAGAAAAAGAAGAATTTCCCAGGGACAGCAACTCACAGCCATCACCCATGCACACACGCTCACACAGACACAGCAATCAGATCCCGTTTCTTACCACGCAGAGCCCCAAACCCAGGGTGGGAGGGAAGTCACAGCTCCCCGAAAATGCCCCCCTCGGAGCAGCCAAGGGGAGCCTCCCGCCACCTCTTGATCGCAGTGCTGCAGAGGTGACGAGACCCACCTTTGCAGGCGGGAGTCCTTTAGAGCATTTCCCCCTCATTCCACACACCTCTGCCTCAGTCCCTGCCGCTCCTCCAGAAAAGCACCAGAAACAAATACTAATTACCCTTGTCGCCGCACACGGAGAACAGAGGCACCCTTTGCTGCCGGAGCAGCCCATGTTCCAGCTTCCGTCTCCAATCCCCCCACCCGCCCCCTGCACTGCCCGCCCAGCGCACAGGTGGCCACGCCACCCACCAGCCGGTCGGCTACATCTGAGGCTCTGCCTGCCGGAGGGAGGCAGCTCTGCCGGGAGGCGGGTCCCGGCCGGGTTAGCCTTACTTCTCGTCCTGCAGGTTAGTGGCTGCCTCCGCCCGCCGGCCTCTCCGCACACAGGCTGATGCTGCAGCCAGTGCTGTTGGCACAGGCAGCCTGCCATCACTTAAAGCCACAGCCCTTCATTTATGGAGAGCGAGAGCCAGCCGTCAGCCTGATCGATGGGCACTTACTTAAATCTCCGCCGGTGAGGGGGAGAGAAAGACAGACCTTCCCTGCGTGGATAATGGAGTGATGCTTAGATGGGTGAGCCCTGCTCCACCCCTCCCTCACTGAGGTCATTAGATGGTCACACTGACTAACGGGAGAGGGAAACTTGGTCTCTGATGCCTGAAAGTGAACGAGCCTATAACGAGGCGAACAACCACGAAAGAGTGTGTGTGTGTGTGTATGTGTGTGTGTGTGTGTGTGTGTGTGTGTGTGGTGACTTGGAATATAAAATCCCTTCTACAATAAATGCTGTTGTTTTCCGCAAGCTTTCACGTGAATGCTTAGAATATGGTCCTCTGGTGTTTTCAGGAAAAGTGTGAAATCCTGATTTGAGAGCTGGAGTTACCAACACACCAGCACAGTCATCTGGATATTGAACAGTGACGTTTAAGAAACACTTTCTCACTGAGTCATTTTGGCCTCAGTGGTATTCTGAGTGCTTGCTTTTTAAAACACAGCACTGAGCTGTTCTGAAACCACAGATCAGGTAGTCCAGGTTTTAAAAATCAACAAGTAGCCCTAGCTGGTTTGGCTCAGTGGGTAAGAGCGTCAGCCTATGGACTAAAGGGCCCCGGGTTTGATTTTGGTCAAGGGCACATGCCCACTTTCTGGACTCGATCCCCAGGGGGCATGCAGGAGGCAGCCAATCAATGATTCTCTCATCATTGATGTTTCTATCTCTCTTCCCCCTCTCCCTTCCTCTCTGAAATCAATACAATTATATATTATACTTCTCTTAATCTCATGCCTTCGAGCAAAGCCTTCATTTTGTTTGCTTAGTAATCTAGTTCAAGTATCGGCCAAATTTTGTCACTCAAGTGACAAGGAAATCAGAGGACAGCTTCACTAGATGCAAGCAATCCTGCAGCACATTCAGTCACCCTGCTTATAATTCACTTCTTCCAAGGGTGCCTTGATTGCCAACGGAAAGGAAGTTCCACCACTTTTCAAACCTCCGTAAAAAATTAAGTTGGTATGTAATTTCCAGCAGTCACTCTGTGAAGACTCGCACATCCTATCGCAGATCTACACCAGGTGATCGCTGTGCTGATTAAAGGGCCTCTGGGGACAAGGAGCTTCAGAAGTCTGTGTTTCTCCCAGCTCTACCGCACCCGCCTTCCTGCCCTCCGCGCCCAGAGCCATGGACACCTTCCAGCCTCTGTCAGCCCTGGGAATAGGAACAGGAAAACCGTGAGGTCATCTTGACTCCTCTTTGTCTACCTGGGTGTGCCCGAGTCGGTTTTTCCTTCCTGGTGTGCCCTGAATTGCTTTTTCTTATTAAAGCTACCTCCACCCTCTTCCCGATCCTCGCCCACCCTCCCTGGGCTGTCGGAAGCATCCCTCCACACTACCCTGCAGAGGGCTGCTACATTATCCCATATTCCTGGCACATCTAAACACTGTGTCTTCCACTGATTTACATAAAAAAAATAAACATCACCCCAATTCCAGGAACCTCAATCATGCAACTGCTCTTTAGACTCCTGACTCCCCTGTTCAAGGCATGCTCGCCACATATGTCCCACCTACACACTCGGGGATGCCTGGTCTGCTTCACCTGGCCTTTATGCAAATCTTTGAGAAAGGCTACATGTCTCTCACAGGCATCCTCCCTCCTCCCCAAATGCCTAGACAGCACATGTATCCTTCTGAGTTGGTTGGAAAATTATTACTCAATATCAACTGACCAAGCACCAGTCCAGGTGCTGGGAAAAATATGAGAGAGTGGAAACCGGTTTGGCTCAGTGGATAGAGCGTCAGCCTGCAGACTGAAAGGTTCAATTCCGGTCAAGGGCATGTACCTTGGTTGCGGGCACATCCCCGGTAGGGGGTGTGCAAGAGGCAGCTGACCAATGATTCTCTCTCATCGATGTTTCTAACTCTTTATCCCTCTCTCTTCCTCTCTGTAAAAAAATCAATAAAATATATATTTTAAACATATATGAGAGAAATTTAAGACATGGTCCCTGCCTTTGAGGTGGTTGGCACATAGATAGATCTAAAAGGTCCAGGCCCAATTCTCTTATCATGTCTCAAAGCAGATGACCTCATGGGAGAGGAAGCAGTACAGGACAATGGGAAAAACAACGATCCTCTTAAAGCCACAGCCTACATGCTGGCCACAGGGCCCCTACTGTAACAGTCTCACACTGTTAGTTTCTGCTCATCTCTTCCCGGTAGCTTGCCCTTTATGACACGTTACTCTTTACTTCTAGATGACAAAATGTATTTTGTCACTCAGATACTGATTGCCTGTTTCTTCTGATCCAGCTGCTCCCATATCCGTGTTCCTGCCTTAGATCATAAAGTCATTACAGTCAAGATAACAAGATTATCTCATTCCCTTTGTAGCATATAACATGCAGAATTCCACCCAATGTGAAAAAAAAAGAAAAAAGAGGGAGGTGGGACTCCAGATAGAAAAATGCTTTTATACTCATATATTAAATATATGAAGTGCTCCAAGAAAAAAAAAATGGATTCACCACAATTTAATTAGGATGATCTGAGCCACAGGCACTTAGCGTCTGGCCAGCATCCCATCAGCAGGCCAGAATTTGCTGGTTGTCCAAGAGCATGCGCAGCTCGGGGGTTTGCAGAAAAGAGCCACACCAGACGGCTGAGATGTGGGCAATGTCCCACCGCCTCCCCAGTGCCCACGCCATTGTGTCCACTATGTTTTTTGTTCAGAGACTATTTTATTTACAGCAGACTCTTGGTGTCACTCAAAATTCACCTTTGTTTAGGTGCTACTTTAAGTTAGATTCCTCCTGCAAAAATAGAATTGGAGGCACACTGGATAATCAGTGAGAGGTTCGGGGGTGGCCTCGATCCTGCTCAGGCTTACCTAGAAACTCACCCACAGACCCTTTTATGAAGAAATTGGGGGATTGCTACACAACACTGTCCTCCCCGGGGATAGTCTGCACAGAATGCCATACAACTATGCAAGGGCACAGAGAGAATTGGAACGAAAACCCTACTGTGTCCTTTTGAGAAAGAGAAAATGTGGTATCAGTTTCCAGATACATGAGACATTTCTTAGAACTTGCAGTATGTATTGAATTGTGTCTGCCACTAAAGTGGGGAAGTTGCAGTTATTAAATAGACTTACAACAAAAAGATAAGTTCATGTTTAGTATGCCCTATAATCAATCATTTTTACCCATAATCTAAAGCTCCAAAACCAATTAGAAAAAAGTTAGCAATACCAAGATATAAATGTATATACAAATCAATAAACTTCTACAAGATTTATATGTACAGGTCAGACATATCAATCATTCAATCATCAATCAAATCACTTCTATAATGGAAGGTTAAGAGAAAATCATTTTGAAGAAATTGCTTAACTTTTCCCTGGTTATGTCTTTCCTTCTCAACTGTTTTATGACAGTGCCCTTCACACATTAGGCAATCAGTAAGTATTTGCTCATCTATATATATAAAAGCGTAAGCTATGACATGCACTGACCACCAGGGGGCAGACATTCAATGCAGGCACTGCCCCCAGGTGGTCAGTGTGCTCCCACAGCCAACTTCCCACGGCCAGCCAACCTCCCATGGTCCCTCCTCCCAGCTGGCCCCTATCTGCCCGGTCAAGACTGGGCAAGATGGCCCCGATCAGCCCCCATTGCCAGCCAGGCCAAGGGACCCGACCTGTGCACGAATTCGTGTACCAGGCCTCTAGGTGATTATAAAGAGCTAGCAAAGAACATACGCATTAAGACTTTATATGTTCAACTCTCATCTGGGATTCCCTCCTCTCTACTCATCCGTTGTACATTCAGATATCCATTGTACGTCTATTGACATAAAGCACTACCACCATAGCTGCTGAGTGGTCTAAGAGAGAGCTAAACACAGATCCTGCTCCCAGTGAGCTTTCTGTCTTAAAAAGCAAGAACACGTGCTAGCTGGTTACCTGTAAGGAAGAGAGCTACAGATATGTAAGTGCACCTGGAACACAGACAGTAGGTAGATATAAAACCAAAAGGATCAGAAAAGTCTTCATAAAAGAGGGAGTTTTGAATGGAATTTTTAGAAATGACATAGGCACTAGGACCTAAATTAGGTATACAATGAAATTCACATCCAGGAGGCAGCTGATTGATGCTTCTCCCTCAACATTGATGTTTCTCATCTCTTTTCTCCCTTCCCCTTCCTCTCTGAAATAAATAAAAATATATATTTAAAAAATAATAACAAGCCGAAACCGGTTTGGCTCAATGGATAGAGCGTCGGCTTGGGGACTGAAAGGTCCCGGGTTCGATTCCGGTCAAGGGCATGTACCCTGGTTGCAGGCATATCTCCAGTAGGGGTGTGCAAGAGGCAGCTGATCAATGACTCTCTCTCATCGATATTTCTAACTCTCTATCTCCCTTCCTCTCTGTACAAAATCAATAAAATATATTTAAAAAAATAAAAAATAAAAAAATAAAAAAATAATAACAATAGTAAAGTAATAACAATAAAAAAAAACCTGTTAATTTAATTATAAGAAAATCTTGGTTGAAAGCATTTTAAAATTTAACAGGCCGAATCTCAGAGGGAAGGCGAAGATGGGAATGTGGGTAGGGAGAGGTTAACCAAAGAACTTATATGCATAACCCACGGACACAGACAATAGTGTGGTGAAGTTGGATGCAGGTTGGAGTGGGTCAATGGGGGGAAAAGGAAGGACATCTCTAATACTTCAAAAATAAAGATAACTTTTAAAAACATTAACATGGTATTAATTTTCACAGATGACATGTGGGCTGGAAATTTTGTCTGATCCAACGTCTGTTAAATCGAGGTCCACAAAATCAAGGGTTTACTGTATAGTCTGCAGGTTCACACACGTATCACAGGCAAACATCTTTTCATGATCGATGGTTGGTCTACGAGACTATCTAGAGAAGAAATGTTTCAACCCCAATTTCTAAAGAATGACTTGGGTATCAAGTGAGTGGCAAAAGCATAATTGGGTGAATTATACCTGATTTTACCAATCATCAATGTAACGATATTCACAAAACAACCAATGAACACTGCCCCCTTTACCCCCCAAAACACACCCCTGCCATTCTGGCCCCCCACTTCAGGGGAAAAGACTGCCTGGTGGGGGCGCATATCCTTACCTCAGACAGTAGGTGCTGAATCACAACTGTTAAGGCTTCGAACTTGGCATTCCCGCAGGAAACAAGCTGCTTAAGGTGCAGGATAAACCGACTCTGCTTCTCCGATTTCGTCTTATACTGAGCCAACTCAAGCGTTTTCTCAGAGGAGAGCACATCTGGAGACGTCTGAGTTTGGATACATAAACTTCTGGGAGCCTTCTGTCTGCCGTTTTCAACTGCAAAAGGAATCAATAAGAGGTAGTGACATACGTGACTATGATTTCTAGAATAAGCACCATATGCATTCAGATACAAGAGAAGAAGCCACAGTAATGCATTTTAAGCTGTGTTTACCAAAGGAAAGCATATGAATGAGAACTGGAATCAATCACACGTCTAGATGTTTGGAATTCATGAACTTAGACAAAGGCTTTCATTGTGACTTTAAAAGCTCTCTGCGGGGCAGAAGAGTTATCTACGTGGAACAATCCAAAAGCAAAAAAAATTGTGTGCGCAATCTTGTTGATTTCGTAGCTTCTCATTTCCTAGGTACACCGGTACAGAAACCTGACTGTCACTGTTAGCCTGACTCTCTATTCTAGTCACATATGCTGGAAGAAAAGCACAACTTATTGGACTTTAAAAACCTTTCCCGCCCCCTACACATTTTTTATGATCTTCCCACCCTTTCCCTGCTGCTGGCCCAGTCATTACAAAGATTTATACTGCAGATGAGTCACTCTCTGGTCTCCAAAGAATCATCGCGCACATTTAAAATCTACTCACATTTTGTCCCTTATCTTTAAAGTCACTGCCAAGAGCGCTGGAATCCTGACTGTACTATTTCATTTTCTATCAAATACAGGCTTGGCTGGTTTTCCCCCCTTCCAACTAGTAGTAATAGCTATAAGCATCTTTTTGAAAGCACATGTTAATACTCGCAATGCCGAGCGATTACTCACTTTCTGTGCCACGGTATCCTGGGAACTACTCTTGCCTGTTGTAAATGAAAACCTGTTTCGTTTGGGAGCCATTCCCAATGCCTCGGTCACTTTAAATATCAAACAGATTGGGAAAGCAGGACACAAACTGTTTAGCTTCTTGAGACGAGGAGGCCACGCACTCAAAACAAACCTCAATCTAAACAAATAAAAAAGCTACCAGAAAATGTGTCCTTGTCTTCACAGGCATTCGCTATGGCACCCACATTCTGTGGTAACCACGGCAATTGTATAAACGAATTATTTTCTCCAATTTTCCAGGGGAAGGAAAATTACAGTGATTACTCGAAGGAAAATAAACAAAGAAACCTCGGTTTTCGTGACCCAAGAACCAATGGCCAAAAGCACAGGGAAAAAAAAAAAGGCGTTTATTTTCTATGGCTTCTTTCCATAGTTAAACAACTCGCATCTGTACTCATGCTTGATAATCCTCAGTTCTAAAATGACTAAGACATCTGTTGTGTTTTCCAATTACTGGAAAAGCAGGGGAAAGCGTTTCTCCAGGATTCTTTATTAGTCATCGTTAATAGTTGTCTGTCAATAATTGCCAATTCCCCAGACAGAGAAAGTAACTGGGTTAATAGCCATCATATTAAAATCCTGAAGGAAGAACAACTTTGTCAAGTCACTATACTAATGAAAAATAATCTAAATATTTTTAAGTAACGTCAAAATACCTGAGGTTCATATTCCTTTATTTTGTTTCCTAAAGTGTTCTTAAAAATGTTACTTTTCCTATACAGATAATAATAATTAATAATGTTTTACTGTTCATAGAGCGTCTCACTTTCCTCTCTTTCCATTCTCCTAGGCACCCTTGGTGGGGAAGGTGAGATTCAGAGATGAGGGCCTTGCCCAGGTGTAGACAGGCAGCTTCTATGGGACAGATTCAAGGTCAGGACCTCGGCCTCCGAAGTCAGGTCTCTACTATTCCCACACATTTTGGAAAGTGAATATGGGGTGGAAATGTAATATATTTCATAACTAAGCCAAATATGTATGCAATAATCGTGCTAAGATGTGGACAGCAATAAATACTTTTAACTCTTTGACCACCCAGAATTTACTGCCATATACGTAGATATATGCCCATGCTCCTAGTTGGTGTCATTGCTATATGTCCTACCAATACTTATTGAAATATTGATTTACTTATTGATACATTGCTTTAAATTCATCATTTCTTGAATCCTTAACAATGAATGTTTGATTTTCTTTCTACAATTTATATGCTAGTCACTTTTATAATTTAACACAAAATCGAAGTTTAAAAGCTGTATGGTTATAATTACAAAATATGAGTGGTAAATCTCTCATATTACCAGTGTTACAGAAAACATTCTTTAAGTATTCTCATCTACTTAGTCTTTCAGATGAATTTTAGTATTCAATGGTAAGTTTTAGTAGGTTTTTTCTAAGAAAATATGGTTAATTAAAGGTACATTAACATATTAATCATTGTTTTTCACACGGAGGTTCAGAATTCAGGTACTCTCTTTATAGCACCAAAGTTTATATTTTCCTGCAAATTATCTCTTATACCAAAGTCAGTCCATAGTTAAGTATTTATATTTGGCTCCTTTGTGAACTACTTCCCCCAACCCCCACTGTATTACCAAGATTTTTTTTTTTTAATTTTACAATAACTTACAATTGTATTGAAAGTATTTGCTAGAGAAGCAGAGGGCACGAGGCTGCTTCAGTAAAACCCAAGCTGTCCTTACTAGTTAGTACACCGGCATCTTTTCCCCCAGGCTTCCTGAGTGGCCTGAGAACTGGAATTTCAAGAGTGCGGGAAGCCTGTTCATCAGCATTGGCTCCTGAGTGTCCAGCCGTGAAAACCCAAGCATCACGCCCGGAACTCAGACATTGCTCTGCCTCGGTAAGTGATCAAAATCCTCAGATCTGTCCGTCATGCAGCAGGGCTAAATGCTACCTGAGAACCTCATCCAAGCATTTAAAACGATTCTGGTCACGTCTGTCTGCATAATTTCATTTACTCAAGTTGATGTTGGAAGACATAAAAGCTTGGTGAGAATCCTTCTCTAACACACCCTAGAATAAACTATTGGATTCACAGCTTGGAAGCCAGAATTTATCCTGTTATGAATCCTACAAGGGAGAAAAATGACATCCATACAGCGGTTTTCACTGCAAACTTGTTGGCAAAGAATGGCTACTTATGGACATTCGTGAAAAAACAACACGAATGTCCGTATGTAGAGGATTGGTTTTAAAATTACAGTACATTTATATAGTGGAACACCACAGCTGTGGCATAGAACTAAGATCTCCTGTGGTAAATGAAACAACAACAACAACAAAAAACACATACTAAGGAACAATGTAGATAATATGCCCTATTGTATAAAGATGGAATGTAAGACCATATTTTATTTTCTTCTTATAAAGGCATAACAAAGCTATTGCATAACACACATAAAAATACTAACAATGTTTATTTTTTCCAAAAAGAGAACGGGAACCAGACAGATACAAGGCATTCTAATGCATTTTTATACTTTCTAACCATCGGTAAATATTACCTATTCCCACAAACTGCGGCTCACGAGCCACATGCGGCTCTTTGGCCCCTGGAGTGTGGCTCTTCCACAAAATACCATGGCCTGAGCGAGTCTATTTTGAAGAAGTGGCATTAGAAGAAGTTTATGTTTAAAAAATTTGGCTCTCCAAAGAAATTTCAATCATTGTACTGTTGATATTTGACTCTGTTGACTAATGAGTTTGCTGACCACTCACCTATTCAAAATGGACAAGTAGTATTATTTGTTTAAAAGATGGTTAAAATTAATTCTGAGCACTTAAAATCTTTATTTAATAGATAGCTATGGAGACAACATAGTCAATCTCTGTTTCTTCCTTGGGGAATCTAGACAGGATTCTAAATAACGTGAGTTTTATTGTATATGAATACTCAGAATAGACTTACATTTAAGGAGAAAAGAAAACAGACATAGTATCCTTCTAAGAGAACATGTCTTCAAAATGGTCACAAAAGAGCCAATAAGCTAACAAGCTACACTCTACACTAGAGCTGGAAAAGCAAGCCGCGGCCTCAATCTTCCGCTCCAAACACTGAGCTCCCGAAGGACAAAACTGTACCATGTGGTAGCAGATGACCCAGTTTGAGCAACCTTCTCACCCATCTCCCTCTGAAGACCAGAGATGATGCAAAAATCTGCGGTGATTCTCAAAGCCCCAGCGCTCAAACATGGGGTATTTCATACTACTAACACACGACGGTTTCCCTTAAATCTCAAAGGATTTCATCATGTATAAGAAATGAGCATAAATGAGCCCTTACATTTCATTTACTAACTTATATTACCTCTTTGATAATAAAAGCTGTATATTTAAAGGCATAAAATATTCTTATTATACCTATTAACAGGCTATGTTCTGATTTCAAAGGATCAATTTAACCTGAAGCTTTCAAATTAAACGCTAACATCTACAGAGACTCAGATGTCTCTCAACAAGATAATTATCAACAAGATAATTACCACTATTGTGTTCCGGCCAATCTTCCCAGGATTCATTCTAGTGAAACCGAAACCTCCATCAGGAAAACAAAAGTCCCGCATCAAAGATACTTACTTGAAAAACAGCTGGATAACACTGCTTGCTATCTTTATTCTTTCTCCTCAGAAACCTCAAATTTAATAAAAGTTACAACTAGTCTAATGATCTTATTTATCATCTTCTTAAAGCAGCAGGCAATGAGAAACAGAACCATTTTTTTCCAGGCTCACGTCACTCAAACATATAGATCCCCACCTCAAGACTAAACACCATTTCTGAGACACATAGACTAACCATCATCACATACTGGCTGCGGAGGACACATTCTTCCTAAGGCCAAACAAGCCATTTACAGAATCTGCTGGATTTCTAAATATTAAAGTTGACTTCGAGTCAAGACCTTCCAGGGGAGTGCCTTGGCTTCCATGAAACACACAGCTCAACACAGAATGTAGTAATAATGTGGCCTAGTGGTTTTGTAGACTCAATGATCTACTCATTCACTTGCCAAACATTTATCAAAATCTACCCTATGGTTTTCTGTGGTCAGGCAGACCTTCCCTGGGGTCGTGGGGAGCAAGGGAGGCACGCAGAAGAGGTTGGTAGTGCACAAGGATGCCTGAAGACACCAAGGGTCTCTGCTGAATTGATTTTCCCCAGTATTAATCTCTTCCTGTTCGACTCCCACACAT